AAGCTGCCCAGCCCACCCAATCATTAATTGCCTCCCCACAGAGCAAAAACAACCGGATTGAGAAAAGTTCGACAGCCAATGAAAGCAACAAATATGGTCAAAACCCTACTGAGTGCCGGCAAAAGCGTGAGCAATAAACAAAATGTACGACCAGAAGAAAGAGCCACAAGCATATCCATACCATCATCAAAGTCACCGTCGAAGCTGTCGTCGGTATCTCCAGCCTCAGCAGCATCTTCGAAGAACTGCAGAACCCCCCGGTTCCTTGTCTTGTGGCCACCGCCAGACTTGTCATTCCCATCGATTCGCTTCCTCTTTCCGGAGGAATCTCTGCCGGCGACTTCCTTGCCCTTGATCGTCATTTCCGGCGAGAATGCAGAACGCCAAACGCATGCAGATTGTCAGAGACTGGAGAGAGCGGAAGAAAGTGGGGAGTGAGAAATTGCGAAAATGAATTATGTCCCTTTTGCTTCAAAACTCAAAAATAAGACAAATAGTAATAAAATTAATTTTTTCCCATAAAATAGTGATAAAATTAATTATTAATTTTTTAATACTCTCCGGTCCTTAAATAAGACCCATTTAACTAATTTAATTAGATTAAGGAAGTTAGGTAAGTTGGTTAATTATAAGAAAAGTGACACATTTTTCCTAAAACACCATAATCATCTTTCTTAATACCTCATCTCCCTCTTCTATTTGATTATGGTTTAGGGAGTATCCATAGGGATAATTTAGAGAACATTGATAAATATGAGAAATAGGCCTTATATTTAGGACCAAAACCAACTCAACAATCGGGTCTTATATTAAGGACCGGAGGAGTATTATTATCTACAACGACATATTCACCTATATCATAGTTAATTTTAACGTGGTTGATGGTTTCATAATTAATTTAATCAATATATGCGTGTTTAAATAAAATTTTATGACATCCTAGCCTTTAAATTGACTTTTTTGCCTTCCATAATTGATTTAATCATTATATAGTAGTAGGTGTTTAAGTCTTGAGTCACATGGTTATGCTAAATGAGACGGAATGAAAATGAAAATGAAAATTTAATACTCTTCTGGTTTTTAATATAAGACCCATTTAATTAATTTGATTAGATTAAGGAAGTTAGGTAAGTTAGTTAATTATAAGAAAAGTGACACATTTTTCCTAAAACACCATAATTATCTTTCTTAATACCTCCTCTCCCTCTTCTACTTAATTATGGTTGAGGGAGTATCCATAGGGATAATTTAGAGAAAATTGATAAATATGAGAAATGGGTCTTATATTTAGGACCAAAACTAACTCAAGAATTAGATCCTATATTAAGGACCGGAGGAGTATATTATAATTATAAAATGTTTGTAGTTATTTATAGTGTTATTTCCATGCGTACCTGTCACATAGGGATCTTTTTTTCACTCTTTTTTTCCGTTGGCAAGTTGGCCCAAAAAAGGGAAGTTGTTTTGCCCTATTTATTTATGAGCCACATCATAAATTTTTTATATAAATATAAAATTTTATTTTTTATTTATTATTGTCTGGACTGTAATTTTTTTAAAAATATATATTAAATAATAATAAAATTAAAAAATTATTAAATTTTAAGCCAGAATTAATAAAATTTAAATTCTTTTTTAACATGAAGGGTGGCTTATAAATATGACTAAACAAATAATATATTGGACATTTAATTTCTTTTTTTTAAAGAAATTATGTTGGAAGAGCTGCTTTTAATAATTGGTTCCCATACATTGTTAATTAACAAGTAATACATCATTACATTAATGCTAATTCTAATCAAAACGAATATATTATCTTTGGTCCTAATTATAAGAGTTAGTTGACTAATTTGAGGAGATTAAGAAAATAAGTTAAGTTAGTTATTTGTAATAAATATGTGTTTTCTTTCCTAAAATACCCTTATTAATTAAGTATATTAGTTAGAACTACCATTGTTAGAAATATTATCTTGGGAAAAAATATTTAAATATCAGAGACAAAGTGGATTAGAGTCTTATATTTAGGACTAAAATAAAAGTCAAATAATGTCTTATATTAAAAACTGGAGGTAGTAGTACACAAATATAGAACCAGTTTCAGTGTTCACTACCTTAATGAGCACCCTAAACTCGTTAGATCTGGATCGTATTTGTATGATTCAGATTTAAAATATTTAGTTAATTATTTTTAAATAGAAAAAATTATTTTTTGAAAAAAAATGATAGTTAAGAGATTATCTCTATTTTATATTTTATGCTTATTAAAATAATTATTTTAAACAAGTAAAATCAAATCCAGACTATTCAAATGAGATATGGACGATCAGGATCTGATGAGCTTAAAGTGCTAATAAGAGTAATGAGCTTAAGGTGCTCCCACAATATACATCAGCTAATCACCATCATTATTCACTATTACATTAACATTAATTCCAATCAAACAGATACACAATCTGCAGCCAATCAGAATCTCTACTACATCAATGTTAATTTCCAGCAAACCAAATACGTACTAGTAATCAGTAACGGATATATAATTTGCAATCAACAGCTGGTGCATATTAATCAATCTTGACTCTTTTTATTGTCTTTTAATCTAATTATAATGAATTATAGTAATTTTTATAGTACTTCATACTAAATATTAAATAATATACTCAAGAGTCAGGTCCTTTAATTTAATCTTTTTTTTGGGTCAAAAGTAATTTAATCTTTCTATCTATCCACTTATATATATATAAAAAAAAACCGTAGGAAAAGGTGGTTTTAAGAATTGATTCCAATAATGCTTTAATACATTATTAATTACTAAGTAATTCATTATTTAATGTCTGTGATTTATAATAGTAGTAAGTAATATATTATTTAATATATTGTTATATTCAGTTTTAATTAATCCCAACAAAATAAAATATATAACCAATACATTAAAGTTAATTTCCAAATTAGTTAATTCATTATTATTGGATTTAACGTTATTAACACGTTATTATCAGTAATGGGAATGGAAATGTCAATTAATAACTGGCCTCCGTCAATCAATAACGGGAGGATTATCAATCACCAACGGTCGGATTCTGGAGCGGGAAAACTCACGCCCCCGCTCCCGCCAGAGCCACTTGCTTATATATACACTCGCGCGGCACTTTTAATTTAATTTATTCTCCAAGCCTCGTCTTTGTGATTCACTTCTCCGTGCGATTGCGGGTTGCGATTTTCTAGTTTCGATTTTCATCTTTGGTAAGCAGAGTTCGTATGATTTTATTTCTCGTCAAATTCAGAGCCCAGACCGTATAGTTGAGTTCCGTATGATGTTTCAGCCTTTCAGGTATGGCTTTGATGTCTCTTTATCTGATGTCGGTCATGGATCTAAGTTTTGATCATCGCATTTTCCTTTGTGTAGTGCTAACACTTCAGTTTGGCAAGCTTCAGCTGTCTTTAAAATGATTATTTAACCATATTGGCCTTCGTGTTGTGTACAATCATTTAACCATATTGGCCTTCGTGTTGTGTACAATCATTTGCAAAATATTTAGGCTTCTGAATTATGCTTACTGCTCTCTTTCCTCGGTTTTCTATTTATTTATCAATATTCGTCATTTCTCCATTGAGTTTTAATTTTATGTTATCTTGAGCCTTCGCCGTTATTATTTTACTGATATCTATGGGCTAGAGTTTGGACCTATATTCGTGGCTAAAGTAACTGATGATATCACCTATCTCACTTTAAGAATAATTAGTTATTGCACTCAACTTTCAGAACATTTATTGTCAGCCTTCTCAGTTTTATGCAATTCTCCTTTCTCCTTGTAAAGTTGGGGTACCTTTTGCTTGTTGCCATATAGTGCCAATGACTTCTCTGTGCAACCTGAACTTCATGGTGGTTATTTGGCATTCAAATTGCAGGTAGCTTTCATCTTCTAAATCTTTCTATTTTTAAAGTTATTTTAGAATGTAATTTTTTTATGACTTTTCTGTTTTGCAATCTTTTTTGTAGTTTTTCGTGGCCTATTATCTCCCTATTTGATTTAACAGTACTAGTGATGGGAAACTGAAGATTGGTTGAAAGAGAATTTACAAGCAAGTTGCTTGCGAGGTTAGAACCTAATAATATATTCACTTAGGATGACGGGCAGAAGACTTACCAACTATCTGACGTGCAATTATAATGAAGCCCTCACCCTTAAGTTAAGGATTGTCCACACTTTCCAAGCTACTAAAATAGGTGCTTAACAGCATATATCAATGCATGACATTCATAAACCCAATCAAGACATAAATTCAGGATTTTAATGAGCATCTAGATGTTCTTGTTCTCTATGTTATCTTTATTTGATAAGATTCACTAGGGAATTTATCTCAGTAATCTTCCATGCTCTTTCTTTTAATGATTTCCTAGCCATGTTTTCCCTAAATATTCTCCTTTTGACTTTTTTGTTTTCCTTCCCATTTTTCTTCACAGTTAAATCTTTGTGGAGTTGGAATTGGAAGGTGGGTATAATTTCTTCATGGACTTTATATATTAATTTTCTTTCCTATTGCTGCTTAAAATCAATGTCATGAGGCTGATAAGCTTGATAATAGCATAAGTTTGTTTTGTTACTGAATTGAATCTGAACTATTTTGCTGAGGTCGGCACTGCTGCTTGTTATCTTAAACAAAACCCAGCTATAATAGCATAATTTGGCTTTTCTTTCTTCATATAAGTTCCTTTAATTCCTTTATATAATTTCATGTTAAATCCGCAAGTTATTGATAAAAAACTGTTTAAATTTAGTGTAACCGGTTTGATCTTGTTGCATGGCTTATAAGCTCGATGGAATGGATTCAGATTCCAAAATATTTCTTTTTCAGTCCTCGTAACGGGAATTGTACAAGTACCTCGGGGTACAATCTGACCTATTAGTAAGAGACTCACTACATAGGAGTTGTTAGTCAATTCTTTTGATATAGTCTGAGTGATATCCTTGTTGAACTTGCAGGATCAGCGGAGCTGAGCTGCGCTTATTTGCGCCAGACAATGTGGGTTGATCGAAATTGATGATGCTCAAGTGATTGCTGGCGCCTGGGGGAGCTCGTAAGATGAAGGTAGTGGCGCGCTCTTGTTGTCACTTTCCCCGGTGATTCTCCTGTCCTCCTTTCATATCATTTGTTGGAAATCCCATGAAAGAAAAACTCTATAAAATAACTTTTTTTCGAATCGTTACTAATATATATATATATTTTTAAAAATGTCTCTCCCTTGTATTTATTATGAATATACATTTTTAAATGTTAATTTTTTATCACGTGTTCGTATCTTCTCTATTTGTGTCTTTGTGAGACTCCAAATTCGACCAATGAACGTATGATGCAGATTTTTTATGAATAAAAGCAAATGTAAATGAGTAAATCTCACACTTTCAAGAGATTTCGTAAACACATCACTGTTTCTGATTCCAGTGTAAGCAAGACGCTGAATGTGTAGGGAAGAACAAGCTGCCTCTTATCCCAGCACACAGTCCGAGCTATACACTGGAAAATGCTTCGTTTAGTATCTTGTTCCCTTCCGCTTCCTCTATCTCCCACGACTCTGCTTCCCACATCTTCCATCGCTTATCTCTCGATCACCTCAATTGTGCATCCTTCATTGCGCTTTCGACGTCGTCGCTTTTCTCCTCATCTTTCCCTATCCATTTGTTGCTCTCTTTCTCCTTCTTCTCCTTCTAGTTCAACTTCACAGGTTTCTCTCCGTTTTCGATTTTACTGTTGCTGTTTCTTGCTATTTTTGGTATTCCAAAAGTGCTTTAGTTCCTTCACAAAGATCATCTGTACAACCGCTGGTCTATTGGATGCCAAAGAAGCGTCTTTATAGCTGCTGAATAGATATTGCTTTAAATTGAAATGTTAATGATACTTTACGATCCGTTTTGGTTTTCTGCCTTGTCTATATGATAAATTAGCAATCCATAACTATGCATGTGCTTCTGAAGTGATATATATAAAATTAAATGAAATGCTGAGAATGCTTGTGGCGATTTTTTTCCTTGAAAAAAAGGATTTCTTCAGAATCTGGAATATCTTGTCCAATGTAGAACGAGCAGTCAAGGACAACTCAATATTATGCGGCCGGACCGAGACTGATAAGTGCATTCTCTTTGCGACTATGCATTGGGAATCTTGAGAAACATAAATGAAATATCATATGCTTGAACAACTATTATGGTTTTGAGCAGATTAATTGGTATGATGATGGTAAAAGTGCATCTTCTTCTTAAACCATTGCGCGCAATGTTCCTGTTTGTATGTCCTTATCCTTGTTATTTCCCATTCTCTGAACATTATTGCAGTGTGTTACTCTTAATTTGCTACTTTTTTGGATGTAAAGGAATTGCTCATATGGTTTTATAATCTGCATGCAATGCAGTTTCGTTCGCATATATCTGTGTGTTCGCTTAATCTTCTTTGTTGAGCCTGTTTCTTGAGACAACTAACAAGTATCTTGAATTGGTGGCTCAGATGGAGGATAATTTCTTGTACTCCAGAGCACATTGGGTCAGTAAATCTTTGATTGCGTGGAATGAGGATATTGGGGATGGGTTTTGCTATCTACTTGCTAGTAGAGATGCCTCTTTGTCCATTGCAAATAATGAAATTCAAGGTCCAAACTCTAACAAAATGTTTAACCTACTACAGTAGTGCAGCGCGTTGAAGAATACTAATGTTTTCCTATGTGCAAGTGATTCCTGGTGGACATTGACCTTTTCCAGTGTTAAACAGGTAAAGATGTGAAAATTACGCTTGAAGAAGATGGAGCTGGCCTTCCTACATATGTAAATTGCTTTTACTCACAAAGCCTTTAAAAGTTATTGAGAGATCAGGCCCTGTAAAGGGGTGCCTTTGTGATGTCATTGTGTGTGAGAATTTTGTGGCTCTCATTTACAATGGAAAAGGGATTATAATGATGGTTTAATTACGGAATTGCCTCAAAGACGTGTGTATTGTCAGGTGGTCGAAAAATTTCCGCATATTCAAGATTATAAAGCTTTTAAATTGCCAACTTCTTTGGACGTTAAGCATCTTCTCAAATGTCAGTTAGCAGTTGTTACTAGCTTCCAGAAGCAGATTTCTCTTCAGACAATAGTTTTGCATGAAGCCTTCATTATCCTATAAGCAATGAGGAATTATTTCAATGATTATAGAACTATATTTCAACATAATATTTTACTCACAACTTGATTTCTATAATGATGGTGAATTGCAAGGTGAAATTGATAACTTTATCTTTGTTTGACAGAGTTTTTATATTATAGTTCATTTATCACAAGTGTTGCAGTGACTTATAATTTGTAGAATCTTTTTGCATTCTGTTCCTTTTTATTGTTTATTGATTATATTGGCATGCTACTAGCGTCTATTTCCTTTTCTCGCAGCTGATGAGAAGTGCAGGAATTGTACTGGTTTGCAGTTACCTGGTGTTATAGATGAACTTTTTTTCATATAATGGCCCTCTTGGTGCATTGTTCTCAAGAGATGCTGTTTCACTTTATCTACGGCCTCCTACCGCTCAAGTATGTTATGTTTCAATGACCCCCCGGGGGGGCCAAAAAAAAAAAAAATGCTTTTACAACCTTAGCTGCAACTCCCCTCAATATTTTTTCATGCTAAAACAGGCGATACGTGCTTACATCTACAGGGGCCCAACGAGAGAGAACCCCATTGAAATTGTACAGTTGGAGGAGGATAATGGTGTTTGGAAAACTAAAGGACCCAAAAGTTGGGAAGGCTGTTACTATGCCTATGAAGTAAATGTTTACCACCCGAGTACCTTGCGAGTTGAAAAATGCTATGACAACGATCCATATGCTAGAGGGTATGTCAATCTAGTCAGTTGGTAACCTCTCATCTTTTTGTAAATTCTATCCAAATTTAAGGATTATTGAGTATTACCATTCACTGGTGCTTATTTCTCTTTTTTGCAATTATATAAAAAATTACATTTCCCACTTGCTTTGTTGATTTCTATTTAACAGACTTTCATCAGATGGCAGGAGGACATTTTTAATTAATCTTGACTCTGATGAGTTAAAACCTGATGGATGGGATGATCTGGTAAACAAGAAACCTGTTGTGCATTCTTTCTCAGGTATAAGCATTTATGAAATGCATGTAAGAGATTTCAGGTGAGAAGTGTCATGTGCACTATTTGATTTTACTCATAGGCCATCTTTCATGACAATCAGATTCAATAACGATTTGATGTGAGCTTTTGAACATTTTATTTGGAAAAAGATCAAAAAACATGTGTGCATGTACGATTAAAGTTGGAGTGTTTTATCTTCTCTTGTCCTTTTCTCATAAGATGTGTCAAATTTATTCGGAATTGAAATTATAATTCTTCTTTTGAACATAAATGCTAATAAAATTCTATCTTTGGGCATTGCACTCGAAGATGGATGTTCATAGATTTATGGTTTGACTTTGTAGAAAGAAGAGAAAGGTAACATAAGGTCTCAATGAGAGAGAATTAAAAATAAAGAAGATAGAGGGTAGCTGTGTTGTCATCTTGCTCTCTGACTACAAAATGTCTAGGCTTCTGAAAATGCGTACTGCTCCCTTTTTCTTTGATTTTCTGTTTATTTATCAATATTTGTCATTTCTCAATTGAGTTTTAATTTTCAGTTATCTTGAGCCTTTGCTTTTAGTATTTCAGTGATATCTATAGGCTAAAGTTTGGACTTCTATTGGTGGCTAAAGTAACTGATGATATCATCTATCTCACCTTAAGAATAGCTAATTATTGCACTCAACTTTCAGAACATTTATTGTTAGTCGTCTGAGTTTTATGTAATTCGTGGTTAAAGTTTGGTAACTTTTTGCTTGTTGCCATACAGTGCCAATGACTCCTCTGTGCAACCTGAGCTTCGTGGTGGTTATTTGGCCTTCACATTGCAGGTAGCTTTCATCTTCTAATTCTTTCTAATTTTAAAGTTGTTTTGGAATAGGATTGTTAACGTTATTGTTTTGCAATGTCTTTGTTACATTTTTGTGGCCTATTATCTTCCTATTTGATTTAACAGTACTAATGATGGGAAACTGAGCATTGGTTGAAAAATTTTTTACGTGCAATTAGATATGCTCTGGCATGTGTTGCTTGCTAGGTTAGAACCTAATAATATATTCAATTAGAAATTTGCAATCCCTAATTCAGGATTGAAAAGATTACTGTACTGTTAACTGCTGTTGACATATGGAATAACTATATGTTTGAAGGATTCAGCTGGTGTACTTCATCTAAAGAAGTTATCAAGTGCCGGCATCAGCCATGTCCATCTACTTCCAACTTTTCAGTTTGGTGGAGTTGATGATCAAAAGGAGAAGTGGAGATCTGTAGGTAAAATATGTTTAATAATTAAATTATATTTTGAATAAAATAGTACTACCTATATTAAACCCTTTTTCTCTAATAATGGAATTCTACTTCTTGAAGGGTCAAATTCAACCTTAATATTTTTAGTTCACTATTAGTTAAGGACATGGATAGAAAGATAAAAATTTAATTAAATCTCATGTAGTTTTGAGTGTTATAGATTGATCAATGTTCTTAACCCCCTTTTGGTTGCTTTCTATATTAGAAATCTCGTGTAGTTTTAGATATGTTGGTTGCACATGCATTTACTATCTCTTATAGTCCTATATTTTTGTGACATTTGTGTTTGGAGCATTGGATATTCTCTTGCAAATACTAAATGGCTATACCTTTTAATTTTGAAACTTATACTTGAGATATTTGATAGAGATGCGTTCATGAGTCTACTGACTTAATTTTGCTTTTGCTGGAAACAACACACATTGAAGAACATGTGCTTTGCAAATGTCGTTTAGTAGTTCATTTTTAATATTAGTCCTTTATTTATTTGTTCAAGAAGACATTATCTTGCTTGATTTTTACTATCTTGTCTTTCTGCTATGATGGGATAGTTTTATTTTAAATTTTTGACAGTTATTAGACTGTCTGGATAGGTTAATCTTTCGGCATCCAATCCATCTAGTTATGTGCTGTTTGAATATCTGGTATAATAAGATCACAGCCTTGTCTTTGAATTTTTCATGGTGTAAGGTCATAAAGGGCGTGACACATTTCAATGGTAAAATTCAACTCCATGATGGCTCGGAATTCAGAGAACAAACGACTTCATCTGGGAAAATGCCTATTGTGTTCATTCAATTTATGAAAGCTCTCCATTCATGATAATTTGTCACTGATTGGATGGTAACAATTACCTCCAATAGTCCCAAAGCATGCTTTATGCATATTACGGATGTGTAATAAGGATTACATCATTACTAATTCAGCCCCTGCATGCCTAGTTCAAAGAAGCCAAGTACAAAGTCTGGATTGATGAAAATAGCCAAACTATGCCTTGGTTGATCAACTGATGATTGAAATTGGGAGGAATTACCTTTTGTACATGCTAGCGAAAGTTATCTGCCAATGTTTCATGGGAAACATATTCCTCCTTGGAGGATACTGCTTTCCTATTTGCAATCAAAAGTTAAACCTAATGAATTGAGGCAAGGAGATTTAAGTGTTATGCAATATTATAACCCTGTTGTTTATCTTAGGCAACGTTTGTATTCAAATGGAAATGCAGCAGTGACGCAGCACATTACATCAAATTTATGGATCAAGGTAGGATCTATAGACTTCTTGGCCTGAATCCAATATTTGAATATGCTTGGGGAAGAATCGTGACTATTCTCCCTTTACTTTCCCTGAGAAACCTTTTCAGAAGTTGAAAGATAAGCAGGGAGAGAATAATTCAAGGGTCTTCAAGTTCCCAAACCAGCAGCTGAAATATCAGCCTTGATGGCGTGTACTGCTCACTGTAGTGTGACAAAGGGTGGTAAGCTGTGGTACCACTTTTTGCAATTGGGTTGGCCACATGAAAGAGATTTGCTATAAAATACAAGGCTAACCAGAAAATTAGAAACTAAGACCAAGAGATGAGACTAGTGACTTAATGGTGATCAATGAGGATAAAAGTCTGTTTTGAGACAAATCCTTTTGGTCTTTTTGGCAAGGAAAAGTGAGCGTTGTTAAAAAACTGACTTGGAAATAAGGCCAAGAACACTGCAGAAAAAATTATGGGACCTGGCAATGCGAAAGTATTAATATATTAGCTATAAGTTGGGTATGATTAATATTAACATCTTAGCATGAGACACATCGTTACATTATGTGTCATTTTGTAGATTTATCGAACATTAGTCCTTTGATTATTTCACTTCATAAGGCATTGGTTTTTCTGGATTTTTTTTTGGTGGTAAGATAATCATATTTTGAATTCTTGAGTTAGGTTACATAGATAGCTATTCTTTCAGCCTCCAGTACATCTATTTTTGTATGGTTTGAATAAGAATCAGATCCACCAATGTTTGAATTTCTTCAATGCGCAAAGTTTTTTGGCAGATTTTTCAGTATTAAAAGGTCTGCCACCAGATTCAGATCAGCAACGAACTCTTATTACAGCCATTCAAGACTATGATGGATACAATAGGGGGTAATCTCCAAATTGCTACATTGGATGATAATTCCAACCATAATTTTTTTTTGGCTGACAATTCCAACCATAATTTTTACTAAACTTATTTTTTAACATTGCGTACACTATCTTGGAAGGGTACAATCCTGTTCTTTGGGGGGTTCCTAAAGGCAGTTATGCAAGTAATCCAAATGGCTCATACCGTATAGTTGAGTTCCGTAAGATGGTTCAGGTATGACTTTGATGTTTCTTTGCTTGATGTCACTCATGGATCTAAAATATAAGCATCTCATTTTCCATTTTGTAGCAATGACGCTTTAGTTTGTCAATGTCAGTTGTCTTTTAAAATGAATTTTTGGTCTCTCGATAGTTGTATTCTTTACAGGAACGTAATCATGATAGTTATATTCTTTACAGGCACTTAACCATATTGGCCTTCGTGTTGTGTACAATCATCTGCAAGGCAGTGGGTCCTTTGATGAGCATTCTGTCCTTGACAAGGTCATGAATTGTCAAGTTTTCTTTGGTCCGCCTGTAATTGATTAAATATTCCATATGCATAGGTGTCATGTTGAGCTTAGCTTCTTTTTGTGAAACATTTGTCTGTTTTAGTAGTGTGACACAAAGTCTCTTAATAGATTGTTCCAGGTTACTATCTAAGACGGAATGCTAATGGGTTTGTTGAGCATAGTACTTGCATGAACAACACTACCAGTGAGCACTTTATGGTTGATCGTTTGATCATTGATGATCTTATATAGTGGGCCGTCAATTACAAAGTGGTTATTTATATCATGTTGATGCAACAAAATTCGCTACCTCTTAGACTTATGATTGAGGAGCGGCTTCCTTTTGTCTATCTAGATGCTCAATACAATGCTGTTATAATTATTAGCCCTTTATATTTCCCTTAGTTTCTGCCATAGAACAATTCTTATATTTTTGCTAGAGAGTTCCATATATGTCATGTTGCTTTTTTCCTTTTTCAGATTGATGGGTTCAGATTTGATCTCATGGGTCATATTATGAAGAACACTGTGGTATGTAGCCTTTGTCGTTTCACTAGGGTTAACACAGGCTTCTATTTAGAGATTAATGCGATTTTTATTCATGAGGCCTGTCCACAGACTAGGCACTAAAGTGCAATTTATATGTTCTGCTTTGTTAATAGTTGCATTCAAATTATTATGGGTGATTTCCTATTTTATACTGCAAATAAGTTGGATAGTTCAAAGGATGATTTTAGAAACTTAGGATGACAAACAGAAGACAACTTCAATAATATCAGTCAGAAAGTACAGTACCAACCATCTTACATGCAATTATGATTAAGCCCTTGCCCTTCTGAGTCAAGGATTGTACACAATATCCTAGCTAATAAAATAGGTGTTTAACAGCACATATCAATGCATGACATTCATAAACACAGCCAAGACATCAATTCAGGATTTTGTTGCAGGTGAAAGCAAAAAATGCACTCCATTGCTTAACTAAGGAAAAGGATGGAATTGATGGTTCGAGTATCTACATGTACTTGTTATTTATGTTGTCTTTGTTGGATAAGAATCATTGGTGAATTTATCTCTACAATCTTCCTAGTTGTCTCTTATAATGATTTCCGTATTATGATTTCACCTGATATTTTTCTCTCAACTATTCCTTCCAATTTTATTTTATTTAAAAAAAAAAAGATATGGTGAAGGATGGGACTTCGATGAGGTTGCCAAAGATGGATGTGGGGTAAATGCTTCACAGTTTAATCTTTGTGGAACTGCAATTGGGAGGTAAGCATAGTTTCTGTCTTGACTTTATATATTATTCAATTTTCTTTCCTATTACTGCTTAAAATTAATATCATGAGCCCGATATGCTTGATAAGATGTTACTTGATTAAGCATTGTTACTGAGTTCCATCTGAACTATTTTACTGAGGGTGGCGCTGCTGCTTGGGATCTTAAACAAAACGTGGCTATAATATTGTAAAATCTAATAATGTAATTTACTTTAAGTGGTTGTTTCATTTTTCTTTTTGTTTTCTTTTTGGCCAACGGTTGTATCATTTTAATGCTGGGAATTGGTCGGCATAAGCTTATGAATTTGCTAAATCCAAGAAGCGATCAAATTTTTAGATGCTTTTAGTTTTGTGATTGATTTACATGAAAGTTATTATTTTTGAGTTATTTTGAGTGCAATATAGCTTCAATGATCGAATTCGAGATGCTGTACTTGGTGGGTCTCCGTTTGGTCATCCACTCCAACAAGGATTTGCAACTGGTCTGTTATTGCAGGTATCATTCCTTCCTTCCTTCCTTCCTCCCTCGTCTTTTAAAAAAAAAAAAAATCATTTCTTCACTGATTTAAATGCTTTACCTCAGAGTAACAATCTTCGTAGATAAATAACTGTTAGTTGTTCTAATGTCTTTATTCCTCTGTTTCTTTTCCACCCTTTTCTTTTCTTGGTTGGCCTTTTCACCTCTTAAATTTTTAAAAATAACTAGAAAGCTGCATGTTGCAACGAGATGTGGAATGCTTGTACCTTGTAGTCATTGAATTCTTGTAAGTTATGAATATAGAAATATAATACAGCAACAGCAACAAACTTAGAAATATAATACTTCCACATGAAATGATATCTGCACATTAATACAAAACTAGTTATATATATTTATCTTAGAAATTGCATCCAAAACCTTAGATATAGGTAGTATAGATTTTAATGATTTCATATAGTTTCCCAATGGATGCTGCTGTGCATTACGGGTTTGGTTAAAAAAATATAGGGCTTGAGCAAAAGAGAGACTTCTGATATAAGAAATTAAAAAGACGATAATTTTCTGGTCAAGGTGCCATTGAAATTTTATTTATACACAGTGAAACAGAATCCTGAAGATACGGGAAGAGATTAAACAGATATTAGGTGAGCTCATTCAGGTAGAAATTATGGACTTGTTTGATTCTATTTATTTGTTTGAATGATTTGTTTTGAAACCATATCCAAAGACAAAAATAAAGAAAAATAGTATTATGAAGAAATTGATTTGAAAATAAGTTTTAAGAATGTGAAAACAAAATTTTTGTTCAATTCACTTGTTTTACTTAATACATATTGACATAATTTTCTTATGATAAATTAATTTCATATAACATCAATGAACTAATATAGAAATGTCTTTTGAACTTTAAATGAACATAAAATGATATAGTTATAATTTAATTTGACATTATTTTAAACGTATTCCGAATAATGGCATTTATGTGAATAGTACATATATTGATTAAAAAAATAATTGTACCAGTTTATATTCACCGTATATAATCCTTATAATTGAGCACATTCTGTTTTGCTTTCAATAGATAGGCTAACAAACGTGTCTTCACCCATATTTTACCTACATTTTATGGTTATTTAAATTATATAACTTTTTGCCCAACATTTTTAATTATATAATTATATACATTGCATTGTAATATTCTCACGTGCTGAACAATGTGCATGCTTCTGCTTCTTGCAGTTTCAAATACTATGTCCATCCACATGGTTGCTAGGAACATTATTTTTCTTGCTAATCATTTCTTGTGGCCATGCTTCCTAAAACTTTTTCTCGACAATAACAATCCTCCTCCCTGCTTGAAGCGACACAATAGATATCTTTGTTGTTTCCAATTTTTATGTTTCTCGTTTTTGGAGCTATTTCATATTATGGCAAGGCTTCACTGCAATTAGTGATATCAAGCCTATGATGGTATTTATATTTTACTTAGTCGGTTGAATCAGGTGCAATCTGACTTCTGAGGGAAAATTCTTCTATCTGCAGCTTAATGGCCATGATCACGGGACAGAAGCTAATGCAGACCTAATGCTTGGTGCATCAAGGGATCACATCCTGGTTGTCGGACTTCATGCATTCTCTATTTCATTCCATTATCTATTTTTTGGAAGTTAAATATTTCTTTCATAAAGGATTGGAGTTATGTATTGGAATGTGGTGGTGGGATAATGGAATTTACAGTTACTGTAGACAAAGCTGATGGGGATCTTCATGATTCTATTTCATTAAGTTGGCAGGGCTTTTGTTTGGCATAGAGAATGACAGAGTATACCCTTTTTTTAGCTCCTCATTTCTATCATTACAATACAATTGAGACAAATCTACATGCACTATTTACTGCTGTGGTCTATTCAACTAATTTGCTGGAAGAATAAAGCATCTCAAACTGTCTTCATCACTTGAAGGGGAACATCTACTGACTATTGTTGATATCATTCATTGCTTTTGCAAACAAGTTCACCAAATTCTTTCATGCTTTTCAGGTTGGAATGGCTGCAAACTTGCGAGATTTTGTACTAACCAATTCTGACGGAAAAGAGGTATAGAGCTAGGTACATTTGCATTGTTTACTAAGTTTGAACTTTCACCTTTTGCGTGCTATTTCATATATCATCGGCAATGGTTGGTTGGTAAACATTGAATATCAGTTTCAACCTACTACTATGATATCTCTATGCTTGGTGGTCCAAATAGATATAATGTCAACATAGCCACGTGCATAAATATGTGTAGAGCAAATATACTTTGAATAGTCCAATGGTTTAGTCATGTGCGTACTGTACAGTATATAAAGAGGTTAGGGTATACAATCAGTAAACGGCTGTGATTTTGGAGATATTTCCTCCTTGATATTCTCTCCTGATCTACCCAAGATATTCACCCAAGTATGTGCGTATAAATCAGTCATAAGGTACAATATTTATTTTATATAATTACCACTTCCCCCCCAAGTTGGATCATAGATATTGATCATGTCCAACTTGCTTATGAACCTCTCAAAGGTCTCTTCTGACAACCCTTTTGTGAGAATGTCTGCCAATTGCTGCTTGGTTGGAACATATGACAAACACACGATGCCTTCTTTCACTTTTTCTTAGATAAAATGTCTATCAACTTCAACATGTTTGGTCTTGCTATGTTATATTTAACGCCATGCTTAGAGATGCCTTTTTATCACAGTAGAGCTTTACCGGTGAATCAATCTTCACCTGAGCTTCTTCTATCACCCTTTGAAGCCATAGTCCTTCCATAATACCCTGAGCCAATGCTCTTAGTTCGGATTCTGCACTACTTTTGGCCACATCTCCCTGTTTCTGATACCATGTAGAGCAAATATACTTTGAATAGTCCGATGGTTTATTCATGTACAGCATATATACATATTAGGGCATATAATCAATAAATGTTTATGATTATGGAGATATTTCCTCCATGTTATTCTCTCCTAATCTACCCGAGATATTCGCCCAAGTATATGCCTATAGATCAGTCATAATATACAATATTTATTTTATTTAATTGCCACAATATGTTTTCTTGGCATACATTTTATGCATGCTTTCATGTCTCAAGCCCAACATTGGGAGTATGATGGGAGATCATGGGTATGTATGGAGTTCCATATTCTAGTGAGGCTAAAAGATAAGCTGTTGACTGCAAATTGTCCAGATTGTGGGTTGCTAAACACAACAAAAACTGACCCATGATCATTCCTATGAAATTTTAGATTGATCAGGGCTGTTGGCCAATGGCCATAGTTAGGGGCTGTTTCATTCCCTCTTCCAGATAGAAAAAAGGTGTTAATGATGGTAATAGCTGCATTTTGTACCTGTGGCACTTTTGGAAGAAGGTCATGGCAGAGATCGTCTTGCCTCTAGGTCTTGCATGAAGACTAATTGAAAGATGCTCAGATTATGAGTTTTAAGAACTGTAAAGACAACCTCCGGCTAGAGGCAGGATCAGGACATGAGATACAAGACATTCTCTACCCAATGAATATGAGCTGTACTATGTGATATGTAGGGACCGAACCCATATCTGCCTGCAACCCTGACTGGTTTCTATACTGCATTCATGTTGAAAATATTTTATGCTGCATGCATGTTGAAAATCTGCGTGGAAAAAATCTCACGGGATGATTGAATTTCCTCTTTCCAAAGATTAGGCTGTCGAATTTTTAATACCATTGACATCATGATGAAATTAAGAAGAGGATAACACCATTCGAATCTCAGGTAAAAGGTTCAGAAGTTCTACTACATGATGGGATACCTGTTGCATATGCTTCATCCCCCACAGAAACTGTAAGCTTCTTCACTTTTAAATGCCATCATCAGTTGAGTACTTTTCACGAAGTATGCACTGTATTAGGAAGAACCAGCAAAATTTTAAGTAATAAATGTTCACAGTCACTGTCATGAATTTTAAGAGAGAGGGGATAAAGCAATTGGAACGGGCAAAAATCAATTACTTGTTTTGCAGGCTAACTATGTTTCTGCTCATGACAACGAAACCTTGTTTGACATTGTGAGCTTGATGGTGTGATGGGATCTTTAAATTGTCATTGACCTAGAATGGTTGTGTTATGTTGTGGCCTGCTTGCAATTTCATCAGCTACTAAAATTCAACATAATATGGCCTATTCGTTCAAGTTCTGCTTCATACTCTTTGCCCGGCTAATGATTACTCATTATGAAACACTTGTTGAATTAAAGAGAATCCAAAATACATGAACTTCTAAAAGAAAATAATTCAAAGGAACGTTAAGGTCTGAAATTTTAATTATTAGTTTATTACCGTGACTGCCATCTATATGAGTTTATACACATTTAGTACTTGCATTCTATCTTCACAATGGTTAGAACATATCAGCAAGTTCAGAGCATCCTATGTCTGTGGAGTCATGGCTTCGGACAAACCAATCTGTGACTTGGCTGCCTTTCCCATTCATCGTGATGGTTGGGTTTTGAAACACTGGATATTAGGGAACTATAATAACTTGTAAAGCGCAGATGTCTTAAGAAAGAGCTGTATCCATGTGACTCATTTTGAACACTACACGACACTCTATACATTGACACTTGAAATTTTGCCATGTCACCGTGTTTATGTTTATGTTAGTGTTCTTTTTTTTTTTTTTAAAAAAAAGAACAATTATGTGTTGCCTATGCAGTAAAGGGTTCATAGCATGATGGCTGACTGTGTTTTTTGAAATTTAAGCAGTTTAGTCAATTGGGCCACTGAGTTATTGTGTTAACGATTTCTTCATCATGAAATCAGCTGCTTTCCTTTTTCAGTTTATTATTTCTGGGACTCAGTCATTTATGTTTCCTAGGGGATACCATTTTTTCACTCTAGTGATGAGATACTCCGCTCCAAATCACTTGATCGAGATTCATACAATTCTGGAGATTGGTTCAATAGGTTGATTCTACAAATTCTCAGTTCCATAACCTATAACTTATTTTCAATCTTGCAGATAATTCTGTTCAGATAATTCCTTTTCTGTCATTGTCAATTTAATGTGTTTCCTTCTGCATCTAATATTGGTTTTCCTCCTATGATTTCAGGCCTGATTTTTCACATAATTCTAATAATTGGGGTGTTGGGCTTCCTCCACGGGAGGAAAATGAAAAGAACTGGCCGCTGTAAGAGTTTAAACACTTTATCATCACCGTTTAATGTATGCATTTCTTAGTTGAGTGTCAACTCATCAGGCACGATATGACATAAATTACCATATTCTGGTGATAAAATTGTGTTATGCAAAAGATCTTATTATTGATTTACTGTTTATGTTCCGGCCGTTGCTTCATCTAGTAATCTTGTGTCTTTTTTAATCAGAATGAAACCAAGATTGGCAGATCCATCTTTCAAGCCTCAGGAGAGCGACATCCTTGCCAGGTTAGAGAATTTTTTAAACCTGTTGCGTATAAGGTACTCGTCACCACTATTCCGTCTCTGAGGACAGCAAATGCTATCCAGGTGAATACATTTTGAATATCTTCCTATGGAATCACTGCCTTCATTAATCATGGAAACTAAATGCTCCTTTAACTTGCCAAAGGGAATAACCTAAATTGGTGACCAATTATCTTCACATATGGATATTTCAACTCCACTAAGCACCATTGTTTCCTTTCATTTTTAGGGCTTATGTTCTTTTTCAGATATGTTGTTAAATTTGTTTGTGAACTATACCCTTATTTGGAAAAGCTAAATTTCAGCTTATCCAGAATTTCCTTTTAGTGTAAGGTATTTCAACTGTCACTTTTTCTAAATCCTGATCTTCTTGGCCTTGTATCTTAAAACATTTCTGTTAAGTGTAGAGAGGCAAAAACCAGAATATTCATTCACTGAAAGCAATAAGTATCAGTACAGGGGTATATACTCTGGCTGATACACGTCAATGATTACTCTTCTCTCTCTATAACTAACTCTAAAGTTAAAACTTACCACGTTCCTCAATACAATTACCATAAACCCCTTACCAATATGACGCATATATCAATTCTCCCCGCTACGAGAGAATCCTTGTCCACAAGGATAGGACGGTGAACTGGTGCAGTAGCTTGAAATTGAGTAAATTGCTGTTTTATGACAGAAAGATCTTCCCAGGTAGCATCTTTTGGCTGAGTAAACTTCCATCAAACCAAAACTTGAGTAATAGGCAGATTATGGTGTTTAATGAGCTTACGGCCAAGAATTTCTTCCGGCTCCAACATAAACTGGCCGTTGTCATCTATTGGGGGTAAAGATTGAGTAGAGATAGCTGCTGGTCCCACATGTTTCTTAAGGAGGGAGACATGAAACACAGGGTGAATCCGTGTCCCTGCAGGCAGCTGGAGTTCATAAGTGACAGCACCAATTTTCTTCAGAATAGGATAAGGCCCAAAATGACAAGCTGCTAGCTTGTGTAGGGCAGAATTGTTGATCAAATTGTGTCAAAAAGGATGAAGCTTCAGATAAACCATATCACCCACATTGAAATGACGCTCAGTTCGATGTTTATTGGCCTGCTGAATCATTCGGTGTTGGGCTTTCCCCAAATGTTGTCTGAGAAGCTACAAGACTAATTCCCGTGTTAAACAAGTCCGGTCCACCAAGTCATTGGGGGAATCACCTGCTATGTAAGGTAAGTGCAGTGGCGGTGCAACACTATAGACTGCTGACATCCCAATGGAAGAGTGATAGGTAGTGTTGTACCAAAGTTCAGCTAGAGGCAGCCATTTAACCCATTGTTTAGGAAAATCACTAGTCATACATCTCAAATAACATTCAAGGCAGCGATTGAGGACCTCAGTTTGGCCATCTGTTTGAGGATGGTATGCAGAAGAGTATTAAAGCTTGACCCCATATAATCTGAACAATTCCTTCCAAAATTTCCCACAGAATATAGGATCTCTATCAATGACTATAGTCTTAGGAAACCCATGTAATTTCACCATGTTATCCAGAAAAATTTGGGCCACTTCAACTGCTATAAAAGGATGTTTTAAGGCCATAAAATGGGCAGCTTTAGACAACCGGTCAACCACTACTAAAATGGTGGACTTAGAATAGGAACTTAGAAGACCATTGATGAGATCCATAGAAAGATCAGTCCAGATATGTTCTGGAATTGGTAATGGTTGAAGTAACCCTGAAGAAGCAATCAACTTAGGTTTAAAGCATTGGCAAATGGTGCATTCACACAAAAGTACGGACATAGCGTTCTAACCGTTTCTAATAAAAAATAGAGCCAAGGCGCTGGTAAGTGGCATGGACCCCCGAATGACTCCCAATGCTGTCATTATGAAAGTAGGAAATGAGATCATAGCGAAGGTTACGATATGCTCCCACCACTAATTTCCCATTACGTTTGAGTAATTGGTACTGCCATGTAAATCTAGGATGAGAATCCTGATTTTGTTCTAGTTCTCAGATCAGCTGCTGTAGTTGATCATCAGTTAACCAAGAGTCTCGAACACGGTCATACAATGGTGAAACAAGTTGGGACAGAGCTAAACAAGACCCTTCACATCATCGGGAAAGTGCATCCGCCGCTGTATTCTCACTGCCCTTACAGTAAGTTATTTCATAATTCAATCCCCATAATTTATGGAGCCATTTAAACTGATCCTGGGTTAAGTCACGTTGCTCCAGAAGGTGTTTCAGGGGTAGGTGGTCAATTTTGATAATGAACTTGTGACTACATAGCTAAGATCGCCATTGTTTGGCTGCAAAAAGAATTGCCAACACCTCACGTTCATATGTTGACAGAGGCCTTTTTGTAGAGGTCAGAACCTTACTAGCAAAAGCAATATGTGGAAATCCCGGAGATTATGGGATACAAGTAAACAGATATTACTTGCTATTATTTCATTCCTTATTTAATTGATTCTTTTAATGTTGTAATCATTTTATTATACTTTATTATCCTTTAATTCCTTTCCTAGGATAGTCGTCCACAGCTCCTATAAATCTCTGTACAGCTTAGTAGTCAATAAATAAAATAGAAGCATACAGTATTATTTTTTCCCGCCAAGTCAACTCTGGAGCACGATGGCTCCAGTTATTCCCGCCAAGGTATGACATCGGTCTTTGAAGGGGCTGCTGTTCTGATCGTCCTAGAAAAACTCATAGGAGACAACTACCATGAGTGGGCCCAGTCTATTCAGCTCGCAATTGAAGGACGAGGTAAATTGGGCTACCTCACCGGTGACACCTCCTATCCATTTGCGTCTAATCAGCAAGCCATGCGACAATGGAAGACTGAAAACACGATGGTTTCTTCCTGGCTTATTAACGCCATGATACCAACCATCAAGCGGAGTTTCATGTTCCTTCCCACAGCACATGAGATATGGGAAGTAGTACGGGAGGCCTACTCCGATGGTGAAAATGTCTCCCAAGTCTTTGAAATCAAAACGAAACTATGGGAATTAAAGCAAGGTACAGGAAACTTGAATGATTATTATTTGACCATGTCGGCTCTATGGCAGGAACTTGATCTCCATAGTGAAGACACTTGGAAATGCTTAGAAGACGCTGCACTATACCAAAAGAAAGTTGACAAAGAGCGCCTCTTTGAATTTCTTGCAAGTGTGAACTCCGACCTTGATGCTGTTCGAGGACGCCTCTTAAGTCGGGTTCCCTTACCAACAGTCTGAGAAGCTTTTGCAGAGGTACAGAGGGAGGATTCGCTCCGTAGAATAATGATGCCTATCTTTGGCCTTGTCACCAATACAGAATCCTCTGCCCTGCTTTCTCGCAACTCAAACAATGAAGGCCCGAGACCTAAACTCATTTGTAAGCATTGCAAAAAGACTGGACATACAAAGAAACATGTTGGGATATACATGGTAAACCTGCTGATTGGAAACCAAAGAAAGGCAGAGGGCGTGGCTATATTGCTGGCACAGAACGAAGTGCAGATACATCTACCACATCCCCTGTTGGTATCAACGAACAACTTACCAAATTAGTAGAGTTGCTTAGCAACCTACAAGCTCCTGGTCAGTCATCTCGTGCACAACCAATAGCTA